GGCCCGGGCGTAGGTGAGCGGTTGTGTCGTCGTTGTGGCTCTCCTGCCACGACATAAGACAGCAATGGCTGCCAGCCAGTCGCCCTTCCACAACCGCGAGGAATATTGGGCACAGATGCAGAGCCACGAGATTGTTGACGGGTCTCTGCTACTGAGAGGGGGAGGTAGCTTAGATCCAAGAGCTTGAATCCAACGTACACGAGAGGGACCCATTATCCACGCCCCGAATGTGTCCACGGTGCCACGAATTCTTTGAGACCTCGACCGCGTCGAGGATCAATCCTCTGCAACGTACATGAAAATTTCGAGTCGTCTCTCGCGAGATGAACATCACAATTCGAATGAGCTATCCGGATGAAGAATTTCGAAACAACTTCAACGTGGACTGAACTGAACTGAAACCAATCTGCGCAGGTTGAACGAGATGCTATTTCATCATTTCGTCAAATGTTTCTTTCTACAGGTAGCCGTTGCTATCAGTAAAAATGCAGATTTGTACGAAATTCACAGTCTGCTAATCTGCGTTTATCAATTCCTAAGTAAATGGCATCGTACTTTCTCTCTTTCTCTTTCATCCTCCATCTCGCGAAGTCTCGAGACGTACGAAAGACACACCAGCCGAGCTATCCAGGACCGTGTTTCTTTCCCCCGGCGCGTTTATCCGAGCTGTCGATTCGGGTCGCGCGAGTCTCGCTCGATGGGCCGACGCTTCCACGAGACGCGCGAGGGTGATTGATGCTCGCCCGTCGTTTCACCGACGCGACTACATAAATCAAAAGCACACGCCCTTGTACTCCGCGCCAATCTTTTTCTTCTCCTCTTCCGTCTTTCTTTCTTTCTTTTTTCTTTTTTTTTTTTTTTTTCTCTCTCTCAACGGCTCGGTCCAACTGTGCAAGGCGTTATCAAATCCGTGGATGACAGACGAGAAGGTATTAAATACCGGAGCCACCATGCGCGAGCGCCATCGACTGTCATCGAAGGGAGAGGAACGAGAGACGAACGAGCGTTCGACGTGTTTTCCCTTCGTCGTTTCTTCCCTGTTTCTCGGTTCCCTCGGCGATTATGCGTCTCACTAGTCCGGTAGCCTGTCCCTGTTACCCGCTGGAAGCGTATTATTCGCTTCCGCGTGGTTCCGCCTGTTCCTGACAGTCTCGCCGGTGGATGCACTGCAATTTCGAAAGGCAACACGTGCGACGAGGAACGTTTTATCCCGGGAGTTTGGACAAGTTTGTTTTATTAGGTGATGGATCGACGCGTAGGTTAGTTTGCAGATACGGGTGATAAAGTGAGAGACCGTGGCGATTAGATCGTGGAAGTATAAGCGCTTATAACACATGTACTAAGAGAATGTCGGAAAACTAAAGGAGATATGGAACCAGAAGAGTTCCTGAGCGAAAAAGGAGCAGATTACTTGGAGATTATGAGGAAAATTAAGAGGAGAGACAGAGGGAAGAGCAGAGAAAAAGAGAGCAGAACAAGACTTACACATGACAAACATACATACGTAAACGATAACACAGGGAAGAAAGAACGGGGGAAAGGAAGAACTTTGAATTAAGTTTAGGTTCCTTCTTCAAGACTATGAGATTACTAAAGGCTAGATTAATAGATATTGTAAGCGTTCTTTCCACCTGTATTTTGTTTTAGTGATGGATTATTAGATTATTAGGATAGATTGAATAAGATTACCAGAATACTGGTCCCTACCGCGATTAATAGATTCGGGTAAGAAAATAGATGTAAATGTAGCCCACCATACAGCGAAAAGACAAAGATGTTAACTGGAAGTCATCCTAAGCCTAGTAGGCAAGGATTAGATAAAATAAAAGAAAGAATATAATATAAGCGTTTATGGGAAATAAATACGCGTGCACGCAACAGCATGGATGCGTAGGACATCGAAAGAAAAGTTGCAGAACATTTGTAAAATCACCAAAGTATTTATATTTGATTGCTTCAATTAAATCACTTACGTACAAATGTTTAAGGCACACTTATTCATTGATGTTTTACTTGGAAATTACGAGTAACAACTTGTAAGAATATTTAATGCAACAAGCTTTTATTTCCATCTCGTCCTCCCGGTTGCATTTGTAAAAACATAGAAATTCGTAGTGCGGTCATGATAATTATGCAAACTATCGTAATTTTATCGTCGATTGCGCAAACGTACAAATACGGGGAAGTGGTATCTTATCGCTGTTTCTTTCGACAATTTGTCAATCCGTTAATTTAATTTATTTCAATTGTCGAGTTACGGCGACATAAACTCGACGCATCGAATTATCAGCAAAACATGAATATTTACATTGAACACGTACGTTTCGTAATGTTCAAGCTCGTTTCGTAATCGTTGTAATAAATTGAAGGGAAGGTCCGTGAATCATACATTCCCCGAAATATGATATTAATGACTTCGAATTTTAAAGGCCCCGAGAACAAGAACGTGCGGGGGAAGGAGGTGCACGCGGCGAAAAGAATGAAACAGCAATTAATCACGCACGATGGTAATAAATGTGTACGATGTACAAGTGACGCAGCTGTTAAAACTGCCGCTCATTGTACTTCATGCGAGGGATGCTAACGTGCAAAAGGGTGGTCTCGCGACTCTTGCTACTTGCCTCCCTCTTTTCACAGCTACATCGTGTTGCTCGTCAGGAATGATGCATCGATAGGGAAGAAACGAAGATAATCGCCGGATACGCCGATTACGAATTCTAATCGTGTCCAATTGAAACTTTCACGGCGAGAAAATAATTGTGAAATTCAATTTTCAAGCAGCAACCACGTCTCCCTGCGTGGAAGATGAATCGCACTTTTCGTTGCAATTTTGGTCTCTCAATATTTTAAATATTCCCTTAGGTAAAAATTATTGTCTAAATCTAATGATTCTTAATCATTGTCTGAATCTCTAATGATTCTTCATGAACCAGGCATGCAAAGTTCTCGAAGATCTCGAAACTGAAATTTAAACGTCATTCCAAGGAAATGAAACTCTGAACTTTCAACCACGCTGCTTTTGCAAGTGACACTTCCATTGCATAAAATTAGATGAAAAGAGAGAGAGAGAGAGAGAGAGAGAGAGAGAGAGAGAGAAGGCAAAGTCTCTTCGAATGATCGATCCGAACGACAGGACAGGCAAAGAAAGAAAGAAAGAAAGAGAGTCTGTGCTCTGTCGGATAAATAGTTCGCTAGCAGAAGAGAAAGCCAGAGAGAAAGAGAGAGAGAGAGAGAGAGAGAGAAAGCTCTTATACGAATTGGCTGAATTCCAAGGACGAAGGAGGCCCTTCTTTCTTTGTCCTTCCACGAAACTTCCTTTCATCTCTGACCGGGATATCTCTCTTTCGTGCTTCAGTTTCTCAAGATCTGAGGAATAGTTGAGAGTTTGTGCCGATAGTTGAACGGCAGGGTGGCATTTCGTTCCGGCTCGCGAAATACCGCGAGACATACAGGCGACCGCAATAGAATCAGGGGGAGAAGACCTGAAAGATCGCTATCGGCTGAATCGGACGCGGAGAACTCGACGCACCGTGCGCGCCGCACACACATTGTTTACGAACGGCGGAGTCTTCGTTTGCGAATCGACGGAGATCCGAGAGGGGAAAGTTTCTTGGATGCCGCGTGCTCGTTCCCTCGCGAAAATTCGCGAAAATTCGCGGAAAGCTCGCCGAGTGTTCCGTCACTCTTCCGTGCTCGAATATTCTCTCGAAAATATCGTGAAAGAATTTACGGGGCGAAACGCGAGCGCCAGCAACGATAAGAAATTGTCGATATTTTAAACTGTCGCAGACTCGTCAGGAAATAATCACGTAACAGTCCGTGATTTGGTCTCGCTTCGCCCTTTGAATACTCTGGACATTCTTTTTTTCTGTTTCTTTTTCTACATTAATAAAGCAGTGGATGAGACGAAATAAAGACGAAAATCTTCGAGATTCAAACGTCACTGAAATCGTTGAAATATTATTTCTTTCTTCGTGACGTACTATGATCTTAAAGAGTGAAATTTTTCTCTTCGCAACGAGCTCTTGAAACTCGCTGTACGATTATTATTTTTATACTTTGAACAGTAGGATTTGAATTAAACACAGTATGAATCTCGAATTTTTGCCTCGAATTTTAACTTCGAAATTAAAAGTTAAATTCAATAAAACTTGAGAAAAAAAAATCGTACAAGCTTTAAAGGATCGTTGTAGAGAGAAGACCTCGATCTTCAAGATCGTGGTGGACCTGACCATGAAAAAAAATTCCTTAATGCTTTTAAAGACGTTTACAGACTACGAAATGTTAGGATTTCTCAAATCTCTTTCGTTGAGAATTCGAAAAAAAGATCAAACAGCAGATTTCAAGATGTACAGAAGAGACTTCAGTCTTCAAGACCGTAAATCTGGTCATCAAAGAAATTTTCCTACGTTTTTGCAGACAATTTTCAAGGCGAAACATTGGAAGGAGACGATCGTGTATGTTTTATTAACGCGAAGAGATCTTTAAGGAATTCTTTCTGACTTATTGTTACAAGAGAAAATTGCGAACTATCGGAAAATTGTCGATTACCTAAGAATCAAACAGAGAAAGGAAAAGAAATTCTGAAATTATTTGGCCATACTATCGTTATCGGTTCTACGCGTTGCAGTCTACTTTCAATTTACATATATAATATTTACATTAATTTTTTGAAATAAAGTATCCACGTCGTAAACTCCATTAACCGAAAGACGCTATACAGAGATAATTGTTTCAAGGGAATAGCAAATGCACGTGCCGAGTGTATGATGAAATACCGATGCTCGTTTACAGGAGCAATTCGAAGAAAGATATCGCAAGTGGATCGATAATCGCGCATTCTTATCGCAACAATGCATTACGCTGCCGATGACAAATAATGTGACAAAATCATTAGCGCGCACAACTGTCATCGTTACGTGATAACTGGAAGACGCAGATGCATTTCATTATATCCGGCATCGTTTATTAACAAATCGATCTGCCGGTTTCGTATAAATACCAGGCAAATTCGCCGGATAGAGCAGTTCAATCGAAACACAATTCGAACAGGTTAAGCAAGCGCGAAAACGCAAGACAAACGCCAAGCAATCATGCAGTCGAAAGTGTTGTGCCTCCTTTTCGTTACCCTCGTCGCCAGCAGTGTCACAGCTGGAATTGTTAACCCTAACAACGTGGGAAAAGCTGTGGGAAAAGCTGTGGAAAAAGTTGTGGTAATTTGAAAAATTTTCGTATTAAAGTCGTGTAAATTTTTTTTTCAATCGATAATTCTTTCAAGTCACGTACGTGAAAGAAAGAGAAAAGTAAAAAAAAAAATACGAGAAAGACGAAGTTTGTTTCGGCCAGTTTGTATTTTATAGACTGGTATTTCATTTCATTTCTTGGAACCCCGTGTAAATTTCCACGCTCTTGAAGCTCTAGTTCTGTAGCCTGTCGAATTTATGGAACGAATCGTACGGTTAATGAAATGAAAAAAAAAAAACGAATGAAAAATGTCGATTAATTTAATTCTATTTTATATCTCTATTCTCTGTGACTGAGAGCGTGGTTTGTCATTTTCTTCATTTCTTGTTTCAGAAAGGGGATCAAAACCAAACCGGCACAGGTAATTTCCAACACCTTATAACTTTCATTGTCGAAGATCATTCGAAAAAGTCGAATCTTCTTCCGAAATTTCGGAAAGCTTTCAAACTGTCCAAAGTAGCTCGTCAGTGCTCACATTTCTGAAAAAAATTCAGAGCCAATGTATTTTGTTAGAGTTGTTATTTTTGAAAGTGATCCGTATTTCTCAGTGACTACGGATTCTAAGTTTCGCTTTCGCAAACTTCTCACTCTTCTGAAAATCAAAATTTCCGTTGAAAATTGAAAGTTAGCAGTAGTATCTTTCCTGAACTTTATATTTAAATACTACAGAAATCCACCATGAATGACTCTGTTAAATGTATCCATTGTCAAAAGTGTTGCACGTGTTCTGAATAACTTACTGTAACATGGTGGCGCTAGTTTAGTACTGGCTTACGTGGCGCTAGTATCGCACGGTTCTTTTAACCAGCCCATTTAATACCAAACTCGTGTCAAACACGTTCTAACGAAACATCTTTTTTGCAGTATCCCGTATTTCGATTCCATCGGTTGCAAGCCAGGATCTAGATGTTGCAAGGGCCGTTGAAGCAGCCGAAAAGTTGCTTGGAACCCTTTTGGGCGGCGTAGGAAATCTTGTTGAAGTCCTCACGAATCTAGTAACAGCAGCGTTGAAAGGTGTACAGCCTCTCGCTGACATAATTAACATAATAACCCAAATTCTGAAGGCGTTCAGCGAAGTAGCAGCAGGAAACCCATTGGATGTTGGAGTCCGTATCCTTCAAAATGGTCTACAGCTCGCTAATAACGTCCTCGGCGCTACGATAAACATGATTTAAACAGTCAATTTTTGACGTAATATTTAACGAAATATCCATTTCGTTGACAATCATGTATTAGTTGAGAAATATACTATACAAGTGCACTGAAAAGTTTTTGCTTGTTTTGTTTCATTGTCCTGTCTATCCATTAGATTTTATGTTAATTCCTTTATTATACATAATTCATTAGTACATCCGTGTGGAGATTGTCGAACGTAAAGATGTGATCGAATATTTCTTCGAGTAGAAATGACAGGGATAAAACTTAGGTAAAACTTTCCTCTGGGTATCTTAAATTCCTAAATTCTAAAATTTCCAAATTACTAAATTAACATGCCTCTCACCATGTTATTTGGTTTTAGAATAAACACATCTAGCAAGCTAGTAGATATTTATTTGTGAATTGCAATTGATGTAACGTTGCGTTTATACGTTTATACGTACTCATATCGCCTTTTTTACCAGGCGAAACTTTTCTTCCATTTGACGGAACGTAAAGCACATAATTCAGGTGTGAAAATTCAGGGAAAACATCCCCTCCGACGGCGAAGGTAGCAAAAACGAAAAAAGGTAAATACGGGTTTCACGGTCGCTGACCGATTCATCCCTCCCGGTTCTCCTAACAATCTGTTCCCACCTCATAAAATTGTCATCGTGCGTGCATAAAACATGAGAAGACGTTCGAGCACGCAGTTGCACAGCTCGAATCTACACGTGGAAATGTAAGGAAAGACGATGGTACGCGGTACACTATCGCGCAAAAGTATCCAGCCACTTGCTCATTTTTAACAACGTATGTCTATTCTTGGTTTTGCAAAACAAGGAACAACTCGTGCACTCTGACGATTTTTGAAATTTTTGCACTTCTGGATTCTGCAGGTTTCTGAAACTTCGAAACTTTTGTAAAGGCGAGTTTTGCGACTACCAGGCAGAGCTGAAACTGTCCAAAGGAATTCCTAGATTGTTGACAGCATTTCGGGTTTGAAAAATTCTTAAATCCCAAAGTCCTCGTGTTCTCAACATTCAAAGTTCGAAGACTCGAGAAGACAGAGAAATTCTGAAATTCCCAACTTTTGAATCTCGAGATTTTCGAATTGCTGAGTCCCGTACTTTTCTCAAGCACCGTGATTGAAAATCAGGTTCGTTCAAACTAGCCGAAAAAAAAAAGAAAAAAAATAACACCGACCATTATTAACAAAATCGACGAATTATTATCCATTCGCAAACGGCCGCGAAACGTGTATTTATGAAAGCTAGTGTACGGGCACGTGCGCACATATATGCACGTATATATATATGGTTGGATCTCGCGGCGTTGAATGCCTGCGAGGCTGTCGATGAAGACTCCAGAGGTTTACGTGTTCGACGACAGCCGGCAACCCGGTGGAAACGAATGGCGCGGGAAAAAGGAAAGGGTCGTTGGAGCGCGTATTTCCACCCTGCCGCCTCCATCGTGAACGCTAAAATACATTTTCCTAGCAAGTGTCGTCGCGGGAGGAGGCCTCCGCAGCTGCTGGTCGTGATATTCTACATGCGTAATGCTCGCGAGGATATTTCCATACATAAATTTCGGCCCGGGAGAAAGTAGGCGGCGGGCTGTGCGGTTGCACACGTCGACGCTGATGACGACGCGTCTTCGCGACGTGCTCGAGAATCCGTCCGGTGATCGCGCGTTCTCCCCGGTTACCGCTGGATCATTATTCTTTGTTGCCGCGACGCGAGTCTTTCGAGTAGGCGTCGCGTTATCGCGCGCCAGAAAACTGCACCGCGGCGTGGCGAATATTTTCTTCTCCCGTTGTTGGCGCAGGTTGCCAGGTGTTTGCGCTGGTAAAACGCGTGTAAGCACGTCGAAGTCTCTCTGTTTGTGTTACACGTAGGAAGAGAGAATTAGCGAAAAAATTTCAGATTTCTTTCAACCAAACATTTTGTAAATTCAATGATTCGTTTCTGAGAGTAACAATTCGAAAACTGGAAAATCGTTTCAGCAAATATTACATAGAAAGCAGATTTTGATATTTTATGTATTTCTTTTTTTTTTTTTTCTTTTTCTTTTGCATTCTTTTGCAATTGTAAAATCAGCGCGACGAAGCTACTTCTAGAAATAAATACGCTTTTCAACAAATACGATCGGACATATATTTCGTACAAGGATTATGTTCTTCGTCACACGACGAAGCGTTTCACTTGCAACACTCACACAGCTGCTCACAGTTATGGTTGTTCTGCCGCGTCTCCCTCTTGATTGTATCTGAAGCCCATGTCTATACGTATATTCTCGCCGTTTATCAGTGGATTCTCGATGCACGCTTGGACCAAGTGTGCCACTTCCTCGCAGGTGCCGTAACGTTTCGGCGTCAGTTTCATGTTGATCCACTTCTTCCTTTCCTCCGGTTTCTGCGGAGCTGGATGTTTCACGAAACGTTTTCGCCCTTTAGCTTTTAATTTACAAACTCGATCACGAGTGAGGTTTACAAATCTTAAAAATAGACTTTCTTTCTCTAATTGTTCCTGTGGAATCGGTCAAAAATTCCAAATTCAGTAAGAAATTTAATAGAATGGCGATGAAATGATAGTTAAATTTGCAAATTCTTTCAAAAGCTCTACTCTCAAGCACAGACGTCCGAATCTTGCAGAAAATTCGTAAGAAAAACCGTCGCCAAGAGAATGAAGATTAACGTGCAATACAAGACTAGGAACAAAAACGGAAAATTCTGAATTTTTACATTCGTAGTCTGTTGTTATATTAGCGAACCTGTCATCGGGCTGTCGATGAAACCAGGGCAAATACCGATGACGCGTATCCCCTTGCACGCGAGTCCTCTAGCCAGAGGGATCGTCATGCCGGAAACGGCGGACTTGGTGCTGCCGTAGGCGATCAAACCCGGCGGCGATTCGCACGCTATCATGCTCGAGAGATTTATAATGACTCCTCTCTGTCTGTTCGCGTCTGGCTTGTTCTCGGCCATCAGACCGACCATCAGGCGAGTCACGTTGAACAGGCCCCACACGTTCGTGTCGTACAGGCATTTGTACAAATCCACCGAGTGCGGTTTCTTCTTCTTGAAGTCGTAGATCGGCTCGTAACCAACGACGCCCGCCGAGTTGATCAGCACGTTCACGCCGCCGAATTTCTCTTTCACGCATTTCATGCTCTCTACCACGTCCTTCTCCAGCCTCACCTGCAGAACGCACATTGTACAAGCACAAACGTACAGGATAATTGCACAGCACACAATATCGCAGCTAATAGCGTTTGCTAATAGCGTAGGTTAATTCTTCGCGGAGATTATTGGCAACAAAGGTTCTCAAGATCGTACGACGATCTACAAAGTTGAGAAAACTTTCAACTCCGAAATCCTGAATCGGTGAGAGAGCGAGGGGCAAAACGCGGCGTGGCAAGAAGTCTTACGAGCAATTGAACTTACGTCGGTACACGTGAACAAAGCTTTTTCGCCGAGGCCCTCGGCGACTTTAGCCCCGTTGCAGGATATATCGGCCAGAACCACCTTGGCACCCTGACAATGAATTTTCTGCGCGATAGCCTTCCCGATCCCGTTTGCTCCTCCGGTGATGTAAGCGACTATATGCTGAAATTCGTTCGTCAATGATTCGCGCGAGATTTTTGTTTGTCGCGCCAACGATTCTCTAACGAGTCCTTTCAAAGTACACCCTAGATATGAGTAACTTTCAGACGTTTTTATTTTAGTCGATAGGCGAAAGAATGTACATACAGATTTCTAGGAGTGAAAACGTTGTCAGACACGAAGAAAGAAGTCTTCAAACAGGTTGAAATATGAAAAATTTTGGATGAAAAGTTTTCAATTATGTAATGAATTTAATGCAATAACTATAAAATATATTTAAATTTAATTTGGCAAAGGCGTAAATTTAACAAATTCGAAAAAATTGCACAAAGTTCCGGCCTGTGCACGACGAACCGCGAAAATCGTTTCGAAATGCTGAAACGATGTTTGACAAAATTCAGGAAAGATATAGTTGGTGAAATTTGTGCTATATGGGAGAAGATTATTCCCGCATTACCTGGAATTTCCCCATTTTGACATTCCTTGGTTATATCACACACCGAGCAGACCGTTGAAATTGGACGTCTCTCGTTCTTTTACTTCCCTTCGTGGGAAGTAGCTGCTCTAAGGAGATTTCAAGTTAGTCAAGTACTTTGAACGTTTTGCAAAGAAAAAAAAAAAAAAAGAAAAATAGGGAAGAAAGGTTAAAAAACCCGATGAATCGAGTTTTATTTTGCCTAAATTTCGCTACTCACGTAACTGATATTGCAGGACACAATGATTTTCAGCAAATCTCTTCGTGAGAATTTTCTTTTTTGCAAAATAAATTGTCTTGTCATATTATGCTTTAGACGTGCATTTTTGTATTTCTGTATTTTTGCATCTTTATTTATTTTATTATTATTTCGCAGTGAAATAAATATATTACGAGCTCAAAGAAAAAGGGGCACAGTGTAGAAATTGACAAGAGCAATAATGGAAACGATGTCAAACGATTTAAAAGCCAATTAATACCTTCGAAATATTCAGAAGCTACACATCTCTCTCTACTTTCGAATAATTTTTTAATGACACAGGTTTGTTTCCTGTAGCTCCCATATATCTTTGTTTCTTGTACCAAGTTATCTCTGAAATCTAAGAAATTTTTCTAAACGAAAAAGATCAACAGAAACACACTTGTCTCCTTTTCCTTTGCTTGATCTAGAAATTCGAGGCAAACAGTGCCACTCACGAGTTAAGCAGGCAGCGTTTCGCCAAATATCTTCGTCGATTCATCAATTATCATTCTGCGACAACAATAAACGATAATTTCTCATTAGCCTCGATGATAGTTCAAGTGACGAAAAACGCCAGTCGAAAAGAAATGACTGTCATTGCAATTTGCATTCGATACTCGGCGTTGTTCGCGGCGTGAGCCACAAATGGATGAGATCCAGTTGGCGACGAAACCAACTGATCGAAAATTGAACTCTCTTCTCCCTGTCTCTGTCGTCGACAGATTTATATAAAAATCGCAGTTCTCTGTTGAATGAGGAAATTCTTCGTTTCGACAAAAATTCCCGTAACAAAATCGAAAGGAAATTTCGCTAGCGAGCTTTTCGTGAACGAGTGCAGAAGATGTTCGAAGAATTTCGCGGTTGACGATCGATAAAACAAAGAGAGAGATAGAGAGAGAGAGAGAGAGAGTGACAAGTAATCCATGGCAGCAGGTGTTATAGAGGTCTCAGGTTGTTCGACACGTTCCAATGCAAATGTCAGGTTGAGCGGTTGCAACCTCGCGTAATGCGCATGTTAATCGGTCGAGGCTACGCCGTGTACCGGCACCAACGGCATAATTCGCTCAATTTACAAGCCTTATCGCAACCGCTTGCATTTAATCGCCGAGAATTCGGTTATATCGTCCGGGGGCTGACGTAGCCCCCGCCTTATCGGATCGACGTGCCGAAGATGAATTTACGCGTGACAAAAATCTATTTCCGCGCGAATCTCGCGAACGTTCGCCTAGCGAATTTTAACATGGCGAGTTACGTAGATTTGAAAAAAAGAAAGATTGTGACACGCCGATTCCACTGAAATTAATTGATTGCAATCAAACTTCGATAATTTGCAAAGTTCGTTTGCCAAGAGGAGTGAGATTTTCCTTTTGACAAAAGCAATCGATGTGAATGATCGATTTAACCCCTTTGCGCTGGCAACTGATTCGCGGACCATAACGAGTGACCGAACCGTATACGACAATTCGTCGCTTTCTCTTTCTTTTGAATATCGGTATGATATCACTGGATAGAAATGATTAAGAAGTAATTTAAACTTATCATTTGTTTTTTGCCTGGGTTACATTTAAATTGTACTTAAAACTGAGAAAACACAAAGTTCTCGACGTGCGTGACATCGATCGTTTCAGCGCAAGAGGTTAAAACTGGAAACGATCGATGACGGAACAAACATTTGACATTTCTTCTCACCAACATCGTTCAAGTTAGGTTTACTTCACGGTTCCATTACGGAGGAAATGAAGACCAGTGTACGAAGTGAAGAAAGACCAAGAACGAACGAGCGAACGAACGAAATCGGTCCACGTTAACGGGAACGGCGACCGATGGAAACATTCCGTCCTGATCTCCGACAAATTGTTAGTTCGTATGCCCGGCCAATTTCAATCCTTCTCAACTTCCAATTTCCTGCGCGTCATTACCGACGCTCGGTGGCTTAGAAGCCACGGTGTTTGACGACCATGAGAAATCTTACGTTCCGAAGAAATCCAGCGAGTTCCATCCTAACAGCTCGCTTCTGTTCGCGACAGTCATCGGGTCTTTCGTCCTTCCGCGTCATATCCGCGCGCTTTTCTCCTCGCCTCTCTCGGCCCCGACTAATCGTACCCGTAGCCGCCAATATTCAGCCACGACAACTTTTCCCACACGCTCGTTCGGTGTCGGGCGCACGATCGAGAACGTTACAGACCACGCACGATCCTTTCCGTGAATTCCGTAAAGGTTGCTTCTAAGAAAATATTCAACCGAGGAACAGGAACTCGCGTTGAACCGAAAAATCGGGAGGTGTCGCTGAATGAAGAGACGATTATTGTCCTGCAGATCGAAGCAAGTTACCACTTCTCCTGGAGAACCAAATTCACCTGCAAGCCAAATCAGAAAATATTCGATTAAAATCCTGCTTTAACTCGAAACTCGGGATCAAATTGACCGATTGCTGGCTCGGCCTCGGAAGAAACGAGGCGATAGAAGGAGTAGCTGGACGTGAAAGGGGATGGGGGCCAGAGGTCGCAGAGGTCGGACACCACGTAAATTGCATACCCGATTGCGGTCTACTGAAGAGTGGCGCCCTCCACCGGCCAACCCCCTTCTCCTCGTCCAACCCTCCTCCCCCCACCGCCCTCTCTTCGGACCGTAGCAACCCCAAACTGGATCTAACAAGCCAGCAACCACAGACTAGGTTCAGCTTGCAACGGGGGCTGCCACCTCTAGGGACTGCCGCTGGGTAAAGCCGGTGAACTGTCCCTCATGTCCCGGCTGGAATCCCCCCTTGCTTCCTTTTCTGTCTCTAACCGCCTCTGCCGTCTCCCTCCTCCGCCACCCCCTGCCTCGTGAGAGACCCGTGAAAACCTTCGAACCCATCCAGCCGTCCTAACAAGCCCGTTTACGTTCAGCCTGTAAACCTACTGACGTTACCTCTCCTTCGCGCTGCTTTGGACACCGTGTTTCTCCTGATCGCGACACGCCGTGCCACGATCACTTCGGGGATGGATTTATTTCGGGGGCCGGACGATGCAGATCGTGAGATCGAGAGAGAATGTTGCACCTTTTCAGGGGGATTTGACCGAGATGTCGGATCCGACCAACCAGACCTGACAATATTGGTTCGTTGTCAGTGCTAACAATGATTGCGGGTCTTAAAGTGACTTACGAACACAATTGCAGGGTCATTTACCCCTTCCCCTTCGGATTTGCCATGAATAGAAATATAGAAAGACGTGCTGCGATGAGGAAAGCACTCTTTTTCATCAAGCAGATCTTGTACAACATCATCCTTGGCCCATTGCAACGTAGCATAGAACCCTGTTAAAATTAGAAGTGTCGTTCCTTCGGACAGAGAATACCAGGTACCAGAAAATGCATATATTTTGTGAAATTCACAAAACAGTGGAACGAACCATCGTGAAGTTGTAAATCGTTTTCGAAATGTTGACTACAATTAATTATTCAAATATGTTATAAATTCGTTTCGCCAATATTCTCCCGATATTCGTATTCATTATTGTTTCTGCTTCTCGTAACAGAGAATCATCGACAAATACAAATACGACAGGCCGGCGAGGAGGTTACAATTTTTCAGCTTCGATGGCATTTGAACAGCAGATAATAAACGGCGAATAAATGTACGTGCACAATGGAAAATTCGGATAACAGGCGCCTGTGAGAGAGGAACAGGCGAGTTCTTCTGTTAAAGAAACGTGGCTGCGAGCAATTACTCGTTTCAAACGGTGATTACGGCACTTTATTTAACTTTCGTCGTTCGAAGGTTGCCTTGTCGCCGATGGTTCTGAAGATCTGCCGTTGACACTTATTATGAAACGGTTTTCTTTTGTAACGCGCGATCCAAAAGCGGTAATTAGAGCGTCCGATAACTATAGAAAATGGCAGCCCGGGGATTTTCTGTCCGCAGCAGGAGCAGGAGCTGATGCCTGACTTTATACGCCCCCTGTTAAACTCCACTCTTGCTATTGTCGTAATTGTGGCTCCCCATTCCTCCTCGCCTCCGTGAAATCCAGCGATTACAACAGCGGCCCGCGTCTTGCAAATGCAGCGGTGCCAAGGATTATCACCCAGCCATTTCAGATTTCCTTTTGCTTTCAGAGGAAACGTGAGCATCGTCGCCGACACTCTTCGCTCTTAGAATCCCTCAAAGTACAAATTTTCAATTCTCATCAAAAATCCAAATGTTCAAGTTTCAAATGCCCAAGATCCTGAGGCTCCTTGAAATTCCTCGATCGTTCGAACCTAAATTTCTACGTTTCGCACATCTTTTCGCCTTAATCTCA